GCCTGAGAATGTTGAAGTCCGAGCAAGAAAAAGCCAGTGCTATTTTGGGCTGTCTCTGAAGACTAACGTAGAGATGGAAGGGAGGAACATGGACGTAGACACATCTGGGATGCTATTTTCAGGCTCCTGGATTCCAGAAAAACTCCAGAAAGCTGGAAAGAGACCAGAAATGTGAAAGGAAATGATTAATGAGTGAAGTTGGGGCAGAAGAACTGTGGACTGACTGTTCAGGGTAGCTGTGAACTGGAAAATCAGGGATTGCGAGGAGCAGAGGTAAGGAAGCCTCGTTTATATCAGTCTGGGGAGTGGGTGGAGGGGCCTATACATTTTAAATGAACCAGACCTAAAATTATGTTTAAAAAGAAAAGAAGAGACACTGGTCACATTGGATCTGAATCTTTCCAAGATCTTGAAGCCTGTGGATCAGATATTCTGAAAATAGAGCAGTGACTCTCAGCCCTGGCTGCTTATGAGCTACCCAAAGGAAGCTTTAAAAAATACCCACATCTTATCCACAGAGGCATGTACCTAGAACATCTTTCCACATTGTGAAAACCCGTGGTGGTTACAATGATACTTGTAGATTACATGAAAACACATTTAAAATATTCAAGTCACAAATACTTTTAAATAGAAGCATGGTATTATACATTATTGTAAGAGGTATCTCAAAGTTACTAGTGGTTAAATATGGAAACATTTTAATTTGAAGAATGGTAATAGGAATGAAACAATTTATTATGATGTCTTTTAACTAAGATTATTTAAACAAAACTATGGAAACTATTGGACTTTATAGATCAGCGCTTCTCAAACGTTAATGAGCATAAGAATTACCTAATGAACCTTATTAGGATGCAGGTTCTGATCTGATATATCTGAGTGGGGCTTGAAATTCTATTTTTCTAAAGAGCTCTCTGGTGAAGCTGAAACTACTGGTCTCGGCACACACATGGAGCAGTGAGGCTGAAATATTTAAACGGCCTCCTTTCTCATATTCTCAGACCTGGAAAACCTCCAGAAATGATTTCTACGTGAAATTTGGCACATTCACTTCCAATCCAGGGGGATGGAGTTGGAGGAAGACTTTTTATAAAAAAAATGCATTGGGAATGAATCAGCATTTACCTTAAAAATATATAGGTTATGGGGACAGCACTTTTTGGGTAAAGAAACTTTATCCCTACCATTTCCAGAGAGTCAAGTCATGCAATCCAAAATAATGTCTTGACTTGAAGTATAATGTTAAATGCTATAAATAAACTATAAACACAAAAAAAGGCAGCAATTTCTCTCACGCTAGGAAAATAGCTCGCTCCTGATGAGTCTGGCTGGCTATTTGTTTGTTTTTCTTGTCATAAAAGTAGTACCCGGCCTGCACTCACTGCTAACACAAGGGGGCATGTATGTGGTGAGGAAAGTAAACATGCCTCTTGGAGCGCCCATCAAGGCCAAAAACCAAACATATTAGGAGTGAGCATCTTAAAAAATGTTCTGACCATACATCATATCTAAGGATATTGCACATATTCTTTGGGAAATATTTTCTTCTTTCCTTGACACAAACAAACAAACCCAGATTCTCACCTTTTTAATAAAAAACATACTACCGTGGCCCCAGGGTTTCTTTTTAGGTATTTAGATCTAAATAAGACTTTCTTTAGAGTTATAATTCCTTGCCAACTTTTAGCGTAAGGTCTTTTTTTTTCTCTTTACCTTTAAATTTTTTGAGTTTCAAAATACCTGTAAAGTGCTCATTCATTTTGGGTTCAGGGAACAGACTAATTTAAAACTCAAAGTATTTCAAATCCATGGCCACTGTGCTTGTAAGTGATATTAAGATGTTCCTAGACACCAATGGAATAAGAAAATAAGCAAATAATGTTTGATAAACTGGTAGAAATGAAAGAGGAAGTCATGTATTCTTCCTACTGGGTATTTTTAAAAATTGTGTTCCCAAATATTCACAGACTTTCATATTTCAAAGCCCATATGAGAGTTACTCAAAGGATAGTAGAAACTGCCCTGGACTTGGAGGTTGTGCTCTTCCTAAAGTTCCCCCACCAGAAGGGTTAGAAAATGCCTTCCTTTTTCCACATTCCTGTCCCAGTAGCTCTCACCTCCAGTGGTCTGAGAATGTCTGTAGGTGTGTAGTCTAACATGGTGGCCACCAGCCAGGTGTGGCTACTGAGCATTTAAAATGGGGCTTCTTCAAATTCAGGTGTCCTGTAAGTCTAAAATATGTACCCAATTTCCCAGACTTGGTATTAAAAAAATGTAAAATATCCCACTAAGCATTTTTATATTAATTTTGCATTGAAATAAAATTATTTTGGATATCTACGGTTACCTAACATTATTAAAATCATTTTTACCTTTTGCCTTTCACTTTTTTAAGAGCAACTACCAGAAAACTTAAACTCATGTGTATGGTTTACATCCAATTTCTATTGGCAATGCTATAGCATAGTAATTATGTAGATTACTCATTTTTGTTTTGGAATGATATTCTATTTATTGAATATTTGCTCTCCTTAAGCTAAGCACTTTACCCGTATCATCTCACTAATTTAATTATCTCTCCTTTACAAATGTGGATATTGAGTTTCCAGACATCAAGTAACCTGCTCAACTCATACTGCTGGTAGGGACAGATGGGATCAAACCAACATCTGTCTGAACCCACAGCCATCTCTCAGCCAGGGTATTACCAGGCTAGGACTGGGGTGAGACAGGAGAGGCATTCGCTTTGAGTACAAAATTTAAGAGCACTCAAGATCTTAGTAGTCAAGATACATCATATTTTAATGGAATATTTTTTTAATCTCAATAGTAGTACAAAAAAATACATGGTGAACAAAATATCAAAATTTTAAATAAAGACAGAATTTGTTCCTCGACTTGAGTGATGCCACCTCACTCATCTCACCCAAAATTGGCCTTATTTGTCAATCCAGCTTGCTTAATGACTGTTCACTTCTGTATGTGTTACCTTCTCAAGCATATTGTCAGCTCTTGGAGACAGGACCTAAGCCTCATATTTCATAATGAATCCTGATGGTGCCCAGGCCTAGCAAAGTACTCAACACATGAGATGTACAAATAAATACATGAGCAGCGAAAAGACTAAAAGGAGACCAAAATGTTTAGAGAGGTTTTCTCTCTCTGTGGAGAGAGACTGAGGTGATTTCCCCATCACCTATATTGTATATAAAACTTTTTAATTAAAAGCAAACATTTAAAATTTTGCTGAATAAGCTTTGAACTTAAAGCTTTGATTTAACACTATGGAGCATGGATACCAACCTGAGAAAGGTACTTAAAGCAACAATCTTACACAGTGAATGAAAAACCATGACTTGCATAGTCCAACTCTACAAATTAAGGATATTGTTAGGAAACCTTTCCCTGTCTATTTAATCACCATTGTTCAGTGAGTGAAGCTCAGTGTGAACCTTTTACAACAGGCCTTTCCAAATACCAAGGGTATGATATAGGCCTGCAATCATGGCTAAAGGAACTCAATCATTCCTCTATACTAAGAGTTTTTCAATCAGGAAGACCAAACAGAATTTCCCTTGGTATTTTCAAATTCCCCTCCCCACCAACCAAATGCAACCTTCCTTATCTTTCTATTCCTTTTCCCAGCTCAGCTGCTTGAAAAATTAACCAACCCCTGATTCCATTCTTCCCCTCTCTACAAAGAAACTTCCTTTGTTAAGGTTCTCATTGACTTCCTTGTTGTGAAATCTAATGGACACTTTACACTTCGCATCTTTCTTGAACTCTTAACTACTTTTGGCACAGTTAACCATTGTGTCCTTTAAATATTCTTTTTTTGGCTTATGTGATTCCATATTCTCCTGGTTTTTACCCACATTCTTAGATATTCTGTGTTTCCCTCAAAGAAGTCCCCTAGTGGAAACACCCCTCCACCTCTCTGTGGTCTCCCCTGCCATAACACTCCCAATCAGTGATGCCCCACCAATCTTCACCATGTATATCCTCCTTCACTGTTAGAAGCCTTAACTCCTTCTATGAGTTTGTGTTGCTTCCCCAGAATCCACCCTCTTCCCTAAAGTCAAATCATTCAATCAAGATTAACATCAATAGGACAATCAGAATTTGGGGGATCTAACAGTCATCATAGTCTATTCTGCTAAAACCATCTGGTTTCCTTGTTTGCCTTCCCATTTAGCTCTTGTCTAACTTACATTCCCCAGGGTAGCCTCTGTGTCCAGAGAAGAACCTAACACATATCATTATATATCAGTATGATTTTGGCTGAAAGTAACAGAAATTCCAACTCAAAAAGACCTTGACAAAATGAAATGTAGTCTCTCCTGTGACTGGAAGTCTAACATGGACTTACCATGGCTCCATGATGCCAGCAAGTACTAAGATTCTTTCAGTCTCACCACTTAGTTATCCTCTGAGTCACCTTCATCCTAAAGCAGTGCTGTGCATCAACATGGCTGCCAGTCGGAACTACATGTTCTCTTTCTCAAGAAGAAATCCCTGTCTTTTATATTTCCATACCTCCAGTTAATAGTGGGTAATCAACAGCAATAACCGGCCCAGTTATTTTTGCAGGTGGCAGGAGGGAGGAACACCTATTTGGAGGGCTTAACCATGATGTGAACATTCTTGTGGTAGATAACATATAAGGCCAATCAGATTTCACATATATAATATCATTACAGAAACCATATTATCCAGTTTAAGAAAAAAATCTTTGAGATTTCCCCAGTGTGACTCTCACTCCATATTCCTTTAAGCCAAGCCCTTCCAGGAGCAAGTTTTAAAACTTTGTTCCAAGAAATGTGCTTTATCTTACAAATTCCATTCTGCTTGTCCATTCCCCAATTTCTGGGACTATCCACCTCCTAACTCCTGAGGAATCAAGCTCTTCTCCATGTGTGTCACTAAGTCTCACCCTGAATAACAAAGGAGAAAAACAAAAAAATGGATTTCAGAAGTATTTTGAATACTATACTTACTCAACAGATGGGCCTCCTAAACACCTTCAGTTTGCTCTGATTCAAGTTGCACAAACTCCAACACTAACCCTAAAGCCCTTAAATTCAGCTAGTTCCCCTCTCTCTGTGGAGCAAACTTCTAGATATTTCCTAGCTTTGCTGTCAACCTTCTTCTTGCTCTGATTCAAATCTGTGTTTCCTTTCTCTTGGCTTATGGGCTATTTTTAGCCAATGCCTGTCCTTTGGATTTGCCAGTCACATTTATCCCAGATTAAGCCCTCAGCATTTTCTCTCAAAGCTGTGCTTGAACTCTGCCCCAGCTGCTTCTGTCCTTGACTGCCTTGGGCCGTCAGGCTTCACAATGCCAAGGCCTTCCCGTTGCCCTACATGTGGATATGTCTTCCCTTTCCTTGCATCCCCTCTTCCTTTTATGTTTAAATTCTTCCTTTTCGTCCATATTTGTCAGTATTAGGCAGTCTAAACACTAATTTTCTCTGGTCACCACCAATCAAGAATGATGTATACAAGACAACACCTGCATTTACATGCTATAATACGCCCTTGGCTGTCCCAGTCAGGAAGGGCTGGCTTGGCTCTGGATGGTAACCCTGGTTCACTTTAGCAGAGCTGGTGCCTGTTTGGTTTCATTTCATATGAGTTACATGAGCCCGTCTAACTGAAGATCTGGCTCACTCCATAGAAATCAATACCTGGGCTGATAGCTGGATCTAGTGAATTCAGCATGGCCTGGTTTTTAACATCTAGAGGACCTCTTCACATACGAAGTTGGGAAAGTAATAACATTGATTATTAAGAAAAGGCAACACAATATAATTTAGACCAGAGGTGGGCAAACTTTTCTGTAATGAGCCAGAGAGCAAACATTTTTGGCTTTGTGAGCCTTACAGTCTTTGTTGCAACTAGTCAAATCTGCCTTTGTAGTGTGAAAGCTGTCATAGACAATATTAAATGAGTAGGCATGGCTATGTTCCACTGAAGTTTTTATTTACAGAAACAGGTGGTGGACCAGACTTGGCTCACAGGCCACAGTTTGCCAACCACTGGTCTAGTGACCAGGAAACAGGGCTGAAGGGCCCTGTTGGGGTATGATATATGCCAGGAGGATGAGAAGGCATGAGGTTTCTCTTGATAGAAGACCAGTGAAACTGGTGGTAAATATGAAATACTTTTATGTTAAAACAAACCCAGATGTATTTTTTTTCATTAAGGTATCATTGATATGCAATCACATGAGCAACATTGTGGTTACTAGATTTCCCCCATTATCAAGTCCCCGCCACATACCCCATTACAGTCACTGTCCATCAGTGTAGTAAGATGCTATAGAGTCACTACTTGTCTTCTCTGTGCTACACAGCCTTCCCCATGCTCCTCCCCCGACATTATGTGTGCTAATGATAATGCCCCTTAATCCCTTTATCCCTCCCTTCCCATGCACCCTCCCGAGTCCCTTTCCCTTTGGTAACTGTTAGTCATTCTTGGGTTCTATGAGTCTGCTGCTGAAACTCAGATATTTTATGGAATAGAATACAACATTGGACCTTGTTGAGGCAGGCTTTTAGGAATACCTTTTTGATTCTCCTCATAGATTAGAGCAACTTTTGTGGGAAAGGTTGAGGAATGCTGACTCAGAAGCACTCCTATAACCAATGAGTACACAGAAACACCCACAGGGTCTTGTCTAATTACAGTGCCTTCATTTCCCCACAGAAGTCTCAAATGTGGCTAGTGCTGAACCTGTTACTTTGTTCTGAGACAACAAGCTCTGTATACTCTATTGTGATTAACAGTGGCCACACCTGCTGGCCAGTGAGACTCTCAGGCACTCTTTCCAGTTTCCCAGAAAAATCCAATTATTTCAGCATAGCACCCTCAAGTTTGCTGCTGTTGTTCAGATGAAGTTTCTGCAATTATTATATCTCTTCTGGCTCATCCTACATCTGAATGTTATATAGTCAGTCCTCATTATTCACAGATTCCATATTTGTGATTTCACCTACTCACAAAAATTTATTCATAACCGCAAAGTCAGCACTCATAACATTTTCACGGTCAGTAGCAGACATGTGCAGAGAGGCAAAACTGTTGAGTCTCCTGAGTTACAAATTCCCAGATGCGGTCAAATGAGGTTATGCTCTGCCTCTTTCAGCATTAACACTGTTAACACATGTCTTTTTGCAGTGTATTTATTGCCACATTTCTCACATTTTTGTGCTTTTTGTTGGTGATTTTGCTGTTTATTGTAGCCCCCATGTGCAGTACTGCGGTGCTGTCTGCAATGTTTCTAAGTGTAAGAAGGCTGTGATATGCCTCTGGAGAAAACGTGTATTAGATAAGCTCCATTCCAGCATGTGTTATAGTACTGATGGCCATGAGTTTAATGCTTATGAATCAACAATATATATTAAATGAAGTGAGTTTAAATGGAAAAACACCTAAAACAAGTTGATATATTGATTAGTTAGCAAGTATGTTGTGATCCAGAGGCTCCCAAGAACGTAGCTCTGTATTTTTTATAGGAGTGATACTTCAGTATTTGCTAATTCAGTGTTCAGGGACTTCAGAGAACAAAACCACCACGAGCAACAAGAGTCCACTGTAATTCCACGGGCAGGGCCCTGCTCTTTCAACCATTCTTGAGGCCGCCCCATCATTATGCTTTCCTTCTCCAAGACAGGTCCTGGGAGGTCTTGCTCCTCAGAATGTGGATCAGAAGCATTAGCATCAGATGTTGTTAGAAGTGCAGAATCTCAGGCCCTGACCTAGATGTAATGAATCAGAATCTGTATTTAAATAAAATCCCCAAGTGATTCATATATACATTGAAGTTTGAGAAGCACTTCTTTAAGGCACGTCCTTCATGCCCACAATTATCTCACTGGTCACATTTTTTTTTCCTAGTTGCACTAGAAGCACCTTCCATTTTCATATGGGCCAAACACAAGCCTCTCATGGTCAATTACATATTTCTACTCTGGTACCATCCATCTACCCACTAATTTATTAATTGAGTCAATTAGTCTGCAAACCAACACCATGAACTACCAAGTAGATGGCAGGAAGAGTTCCACCAGAGAGGCACAAAGAGAGCACAGAGACTAACTCTAGATGGATACGGTCTGTGAACACTTACTGGAGGAATTATTTTGAACACAAAACAACTTTAATCCCTGACAACATGATTCAGCAAAGTAGAAGGTATTTTAAAACATTAAATATTCCTTTTCAATCTAACAAGTAACATCTTCTGTGCATACGCACCACAAATAGATTATAATAGTTTTCCAGTATGTGAACTAAAAATAACAACAAAGAAAGTGTATCTAAGAAATAAAGAGAATATGTACAAAGAGATGGGAAGTTTTGTCATTATCTACCCTTCAAGTATCTTCTAATCCCAGCATGATAATTCAATTACCCTTTCCTTTTCTTACAGATTCTGATAATCTTGCAAAATGTGAGAATTCTGATCATTTTTCTCATCTACTTTTACCTAAGGTGACCTCTTCAGGTCAGAACTTAACAGAGGAAATTAACTTATTTTTTCTCAATGTCTTCTAAGAAGTCACAGGTTAATTTCCCCTGTTATCATAAATTACATGCTAGAATTATAAAGCAAAAATAAAGAAACTGAATCAAATGAGCTGTCAATTTGTTGGACTGAACAGTAACTTAGACCTTTGAGAAGAGCCTTATCCTTTGAGTATAAGAAAGCTACAATTTAGCTTGCTATCATTTTTTGCTACTTGTTACAAAAATGCCTCAAAGCTGGTCTATATCAGCCACTCTAGCTCACAAATGAGAAACCTGAGGCCCTGGAAGGGTAAGTGATTTTATGTTATGAGTCAGCAGGGCCCTGGGGAGCCATGAGGAAATAGGAGCTGCAGGCAATTTTGGGTAAGACTGTTCCTAAGTCAGTGAGTGATTTTATAAAGAGGTAAAACTGAAATTAAAAACTATAATTAACTCTCTAACCTGGAACTTTGCTCTCTTCCATTAATTTTGGAATAATGAAACATTCACTTATAATTTAAGAAATAAATAAAGGAAGGCTGAGTAGAAATGTGGAAGCTTTGTGAGTCATGCAGTGTAATGCAGCTGTGCTAATGTCCCTCCTGGTATTGTGACATGTACAATTGTGACAGATGTATAACGAGGAAGCAGTGCATGTTATAGTGTACATTATGAGTAATTTGTACATATATTAATGTACTCTTAAATAAAAGGAGTGTGAGTCATCCAGAAAGGTATACATAAATAGATCAATACAAGACCCCTCACAATCCACATTTCTAGCTGTAGGAATCTGGCACATTATTAAGTGATGGATTTTCAAGTGTGGACCAAGAACAATAACCCAAGATGGCAACTCAAGAAGCTAGAGAGTTGGAGAAGCTAAAGATCCTGGGAGTTTGGAGTGAATGGCCATAGACTCAAATCTGCCTCTAACTTGCTCTGTTTTCCTGGGCAAGTCCTTTCATGTCTCTTTTTTCATCCGCAACAAGGGAAGAGAACTGCACTAGGATGTCTCCAGGGTCCCATACAGCTCTTGTGCTCCCTGACTATATATTTGCATGACTTGCTCCCACTAGAGACCCCAGATAGACCCATTCTACAGTTACCACCTGCAGGGCTTCCTCCAGGGACAGGCAATAGGAAGCTGATGATACCCTGTGGACTCAGTCCTCTTGCTTCTTTCCTTTTCCCTGTGGTAGTGAGCTCTCCTTCTCAGAGTTGCTATTCCCTAACTGGGAAAACTGCTCTGGGAAATATCCTGTGAGGAGCAAGTAATTGGAAGTCTGGCAGAGTAGAGTTCAAATCTTGTTTTCTTCAGTTATTGACTGTGTGCTGGTGGTTCATGCTTACTAGCTGTGTGACCCAAGGCTCTTACTAGATGAAATGGATATAATAATATTTTTCACAGTTTTCTTGTATGGATTAAACAAGTAGGATAATGCTAAGTGATTCTTCCTGAAAGAATACCAAGCTTATAATAGATTTCAAAACTGTTAGTCCTGTCTTATTTTTCTCCATGCTTTGAAGTTTATTAATGTTTAAAGATAAAGGGATAGAATTCCAAAAGCCATATTTTAGACAACACTTAGGTGATGAGGGACAGATTGGGCTTCTCCCC